CCGCCTCCTCCGCCTCCTCCTCCACTGCCTCGGTCAGGAGTGTAGCCCGAATTTATGCCACATGCCCCCCTCTCGCGCGTCCCTGCCTCTTGCCCTCCCACTCTTTCCCTTCCCTGCTCTCCCCCCCCACACCAGTTTTCACTCAATTTCCCTCCTCCTCCCCACCTGCCAGCAAGACGGGCAAGTGCCACGTGGACAGCCCGGTCGCCCAAACAGCAGATCGCTCCCAGCGCCTCCGCTTCAACACCCATGTCTCGATTGCACATCGGATCGCAGTATCGACGTGGTGAGGCGGCAGACGCATCCCCCCCATCTCCTCCCCTCGCCATGCCCTCACCTCCAACCCCCTCTCTCCCCTGTCACCTCCTCCCTTCTCCCTCACCTCCTCCATCTGCCTCATCCCTCCTACCTCCTCCCTGACTCCCGCGGGCCCCAACACGCGTCCCTCTCTAGGACGCGTGAGCACCAGGGCGAGGCGTGCCTAACCGAGCTCGAAGCCAGCCGGCCCGGCGCCGCACGCGCACGGGGCGGCGGGCGAGAGCTGCGCTGCTGCTCTCAGGTTCCGCCGCCAAGCAGCTGCCAAGCTCCACGACACTCCCCCATCCCTCCCTCCTGCCTGCCTCCTCCCTCCCTGCAGCACGGCAGGGGGTGAGGAGGATTGCCCAACCTACGCGGGGTGTCATTTCGGACGGGAGTGATGTCATGATAGGATTGGCTCAGGATACGTTTCAGGATCTCCAGAGTATCTAGCGGCACTCGTTTCTGCAGCCCCAGTGGAAAATCTGGGAGTCCCGGAAATCTAGGAAATCTTGGAACGTATAATTATAATGCTCATCTGGTCATTGGCCGTTGGCGTAGAACAGCGACCCACCCTTCATCAATCCATCACTCCTTCCTGCCCGCCTCCCTCCCACTAACTACCTCCTCCCTCCTCCCTCTCTCCCTCCATCCCTTCCTGCTTCCCGCACTCCCTCCCACCCACCCTCCTCCCTCCCTCCCTCTCTCCCTGCCTCCCTCCCACCCTCCAACCCTCCCACCCTCCATGCCTCCCTCCTCTATCCTCCCTCCTTCCTTCTCTCTCCGTCCTTCCTCTCTCCCCTATGCGTTGGGCCGCCTCGGACTCAGGGCTGGGCCTCCATTCGCTGGTGGCTGGCAGTCGAAACGATCTCTCGGGGTGAGAACCTTCAGAAAGATGGCGCGCATACTGTTGCAATGCCGAGCTCCGACCGGTCCCCCAGGTAGGGATGTAGGATTGGTCCGCCTCGAATGAAATCGCATCGAATCGAAGTGGGCGTCGGATCGGGCCGGATCGGCACGGAGTCGAAATCGAATCGGATCGGCTGCGCCAGGATGCACAACAGCACCATGCAAGCATCGGGCCGCAACGGATCGCCGAGAGATCGAAACCGAGTGGGATCGAACTGGCCCAAAACGGTATCCGATCGGATCGAAATGGGCCCGCGATGTCCTCGGGCGTCTCCTCCCTCTGCTCGCCGTGCAGGGCGGCCTCGCGCAGGGCCTGGACATGCACCCTCGGGCGACGGCTCGGCGCCGCCCTCCGGAAGAGCGCCCAGCCTGCGCGGAGCAGGAGCAGGAGCAGGAGGAGGAGCAGGAGGAGGAGGAGGAGGAGGAGGAGGAGGAGGCGGAGGCGGAGGAGGCGGAGGAGGCGGAGCCGGAGGAGGAGGCGGAGGAGGATGAGGAATGAGGAGGAGGAGGAGGAGGAGGAGGAGGAGGAGGAGGAGGAGAAGGAGGAGGAGGAGGAGGAGGAGGAGGAGGAGGAGGAGGAGGAGGACAGCGTACAGGGGGGGTTCAGCTCTACCCTAAGAAAGAGGCGCAGGGGCGCCAGAGGTCGTTGCCTCGCTCTTTGCGGTGTTAGAACACCAAGGCTGATTATGCCACGAGGAGGGAGAAGCAGGGGAGGAGCACGCAGGAGCAGGGGCAAGGCTCAAAGGAGCGACGGAAGGGGTGGGAGACGGGGGAAACGCCAGCAACATAGCTAACTCCAGGGGAGAGGAGCGAGAGGAGACGGCAGAGGGCAGCAGCAGGGAGGGCTCAAGGGACAAGGGAGACGGAACGGGCGGATGGGCATGCGTAGAGCCGAGCGTGGGCGGGCAGAGCGGGGTGTGCGGGGCAAAAGAGGACAAGGGGGCAGTCGAAAAGAGGCAGCGACGGGAAGGCTCAGGGTAAGGCGGGGTCCTTGGCGCGGACCACGGGGGGGGGGGAGATAGCCTCTGGGTCGACGGGCTGGCCATCAGGGTGCTCGGAGACCGCGAGGGAGTCCATGACAACGTCATCGGGGAACATGACGCCACGGACGAGCAGGGCGCCATGGGAGCAACAGCACGTCCAGGAGTGGTAGCCAGAATGCATCCCTGCCGAGAGCGACGCACGATCAGGGACGGCACAGAGCCAGTGACCTTCCCCTCGGCAGTAGAGCCAGCCTGCTTCCCAGGGCTCGAGGAGCACCCCAGCGCAGGACAGAGCGTTCTAATCGGCATCGGCGGAAGAGACCACACCTCGCAATTTACTCTAGACGCCTGAATCGACGGGCTCGAGGAGCACCCGTCGCCAGGACTTTGCGTTCTGACCTTCCCAGCCTCAACTCCAGGGGACGGCAGCAGCCACTCCTCGCAATTTACTCTAGATGCCTGGACACCTGGGCTCGAGGAGCACCCAGCGCCAGGACTTGGCGTTCTAACAATGTCAGTACCCCATCTGCTCGGCACTGAGGGTTCGGGGCAGTCGATGTCGTCGCTGTGTATCTCTCTGGTAGGCGTCGCAATCAGAGTAGCTGGTGTACCAGGAGCGGAGGGGGAAGAGACTCTGTCATCATCGGTGTGGACCGTGGGGACCAGCTGCGGAGTGAGGCACGGTGATCGGTAATCATTCTCGACCACGTCAGGACCAGAGCTCGGTACTCCATCAGTGTCGACGCAGGGCGGGCTGTCCGAGGTCTTGCCCACAGATGTAAGACCATGACTACCAGCGGCCAGTTCATCGCCGTCTTGGGGATCTCCAGGGGGGTCGGGCAGCAGCTCGTCGTCCTCGATATCGCTAGATGATGTCGATGAGGTCGACGTGGGTAGAGGAAGGCGGCGGAGAATCAGTGCCTCTGGGGGCTGCCATTTCTTTTGCCATTGGGAATCGGGCTTGGCCAATCTTAGATTTCTGACCGCCGCTCTCGCACCCGATCGAAGGTCATTGGCGGTGACGTACAAACGAAAGCGCATGTTGTGGTAGATGTTGAAGGCAACTGTCACGGCTTCGACATGCTTGATGTCAGGGAGCCGCAGCCCCAATCGGTCAGGGAGGAGTGGGAGCATCTCATATCCTAGCGCTTGGTACACCGCTGTCCAGAGCGGGCGGCATCGCATGTAATGATACTGTCGATCATCGTGAGCTCGGCATCCAAAGATACATGAGCGGGAGCCTCCAGCATATTTGATGCGCGATGAGGTAAGCCATCCAGAGCAATAAGTCTTTATAACAGGCATGGCCCAGCTCATGGGGACCAGCGATAGAAGTCCACCAATCTCTGTCCAGGCCACACGATCCAGGAACGGTTCCCATTCATGTACATATTTCAGAAGACGTCTCTGCACCAGCGAGGCAAGTGGGAAGGGTGTCACCAGCAACTCCCGAAGGGCACGGGTGGCAGCACGTTGAGGCTTGGGCTTCCTGTCGGTGGCCAGGAGCTCCTGGGCGATGGCCTGCACGCATGTGTTATTGATCTCGGTGGTGTACACTGCCTCCCTGCTTGGCTGGAGAATTGATGCGTATCCGAGCAAGAAGGAAGGGGATCGCCAGTGCGTGCCAGTATGGTCGAGTGCATCTCCACGCGTCCGAATCGCCGCCAGAGGCGCATCATCATATCGCCCCGCCATGAGGGAACATCTCCATTCAGATTCCAGCTGTCGGAATCGATCGTTAATGGTAGTGTGATCAGAAAACGTGACTAATGCAGCTCGAGCATAGGCAGCGGCGCACGAGTGTAGCAGCAGAGGGATACGAGGGCCTCCCCAGAATCCCCAGTTCCAGAGCGGCGAGACGTTGCGGAAGAGGAACGAATTGGGCCACATATGAGACCACTGAGAACACCCTGGACGAGTACAAGGCGCCGTTGATACTAGCAGGGGCAGCCCCAGACCCCAGTAGACGAGCCCGTAATTTGAGCTTCTGTAGCGGTGCGAGCCACTGCATGTCGACAGTGACGGCGGGGCCCAGCAGGAGGCCCAGGTAGAGAACGTGGGGGGCCACTTCGAAGGCGTGCCAGGCAGGGACCAGGCGCTCGACCAGGGACGAGGTGTGGAAATGGAGGGACTCAGTGAACTCCCCCTTGAGCGGGACAATTTTGCACTTCATGGGCTTCAGCTTCAGCCCTGTTAGACACTCCGTAACCACCATCACATCATATAGCACCTGAAGGTGCCTAGCTTCATATACCACTGCTCCTATATCATCAGCACACGCACGAGCAATACCATATCCAGGAGCCTCGAGGGAGTCCTCCAGCGCCTGGAGAAAGGGGGCCGTGCCGAGGGCGTAGAGGCTCCCAGAGAGCCCACATCCTTGGATAATCCCAGACCGCAGCCAGTATATAGGGATAAGTTGGCCAGCATGGGCCACCACACCTTGAATAGCGAGGTACAGCCACGAGAGAAACCACATGAGGGGCCTAGGGGGCCCGAGCTTCTTCATCAGAATCAGCAGGTACTCTTGGGAAAGGCTAGGGAACGCCTGACCATAATCGAACGAGATCAGGAGGGGTCGTACATGTCAGAGCGAGGGTGGGCTGCAGCAAGTCTTCCGATGCCGTCGAGTTCGATCACATTGTATCCAAAGTTACGGCCGACCACGAACCCCCTTTGTGAGCAGGGAACCACCTCCTCGACCACTTTACGGAGCGAGCGATTGACAACAGAGGTCATGATTTTGATGTCGGTGTTTCGAAGCCCAAGCACTCGAATTTTGTCAGCTGTCCGCGTGCAGCCTCCAGAGGCCTCGTCCTCGTCCTCAGAACCCTTGGGCAGGAAGGCCTGCAGCGTGACACTCGCGGCATCGAAGAGGGACCCCCCGCTGAGCACCCAGTCGAGGGTGTTGCACAAGACGTCGACACAGCAGTCAGAGGCATTCCATGCGGCATAGGGGATGCCGTCCACCCCAGGGGCAGAGTGCCGCGCGCCTCGCACAGCACGACGGATAGCAGCCTTGGTGGGAGGAGGGACTTCGCATTGAACATTAGCTTTCAGGTGATCCTGGAGGTAGGCCTCAATGCGGTGGGTTGGAACAGAGCCTCGAGAGAATACAGGGCGCCAATAGTTACTCAAAGCTTGAAACCGATCTTCGGGCGAGTGAGATAGAGTAGGGCCGGATCGAACCTTCTGCAGGATGAGTCGGCGAGAGAAAGGGGCCCAGATGGCGGCTTTCCTCTCCAATAGCTGCTGTCGACGGCGGGTGGAGATGGGACGGCGAGAAGCAGAGAGACCAGTGGCATGATCGACGTTGGCTTGCAATTCTTTTTCCAGAAGCCGCAGGTGGACTCCGTCGGACCACGAGTGAAATGATTCAGCATGCCGAAGGCGAACTTGTGGGCCTTCAATTAGCAGTGCGTCTGATGCCCACTGCGAAGTGGAAATAAGCCGCCGAGCCAGTGGGACGTCCTGCCGCCAGATAGCTCGAGCGCAGCTGCGGGCCACGATGATCGCCGTCTCGTCACTCTCCGCCTTCAGCGTGAGGAGCATGTCTCGGACCTCCCGTGCAGCCTCCTTGAGCATCTCTTTGAAATGCTCCTGATAAATAGAGCCAGCGTGTGCATCAATGGCGTTCTGGCCATCAGCCACCACCCCCTCGATACGTCTCTTGAAGAGCGGGTCATGGAAGAGGTGCCGCGGTATAGCTTGTTCTCCCCGTGGTCGATGGTGGCGCTGGCGCAACGTAGTCACCAGCGCGGCATGATCAGAGATTTGAGCCCGAGACAACGCTTCTGGCTCGCCAACTGTGGTGGATTCAGCATGAACTTGGCATAGCATCCATCCAGGTAAAGAACAAAAGAACCGATCTATGCAGCTGACAGAGTTGGTGTGCTTCGTATAGTGAGTAGCCGCAGACGCTGATACTTCAAGAAGCGCCCCCAGAGAGCGAAGCCAACGGGCAGCTTGGGCACGATGATTCCGCGGATCGGATGCATGCGCGGGAAGTGGACGATGTAGCACCAGAGCTTCGTCAGGGCCAAAATTCAGGTCACCTTGCACAATGGCCAGGTGGTGGGTAGGGTCAGACGCCGCCGCGACCCGATACCTGTCGATCTGCTCACAGACCATGTCCACCTGGTGACTGGAGAGGCCGTGGTTGTGTATATTAAAATGTGTCAACTGATATCCACGTCTACGCACATCAACTTGCAGGACCCTTCCTGGAATGAGCGGCGTGGCACAGCTAGACGAGGCTCCGTCAAGAGCGAGTCGAGGAAGAATAGTAGCAACACCTCCAGCACCCGATCCCCCTTGATCGACTGCACAAAATGAGGCGTGGACTACTGCATGGGCATGAGCTTGGAGCACGAACTGTTCCAATTGGACACGGTCAGCGTGAACTTCCTGCATCGCCAGCAACGTGGATTGCAGGTGAATCTGCTGAAGATATCGTAACTTGGTAGTAGCTTTCGCCCCTTGGTACTGCAGGAGCGCCCTCGCATTCCATGTAGCACATCTCAAAGCGGTGCTTCCATCTTTGGCTTGAGGGAGATTGAACATCTGCATCAGCTCGTTAAAGACACCACTGCGGTGGCGGTGGCGGTGCAATGGTGGACTGGACCAGCTCGCGGACCTCGTGCTTGGCAATGCCAACCTCACTGAGGCCCTCGTCGTTGTAGAGGATGTCGAATGGCTGGTCGTCAGGTTGGGCGGAGAGCTTGAGTATATGCGTCCACCCACAGCGAAGGACACCGCGTTCTCTGTCCACGGCCCAACGCCCTTCGTATTTGCCAGCGAGGGCAGCACGTAGTTTCCTGAGCGCCATTTCCGTTTTAACTTGCTTTGGGTTTTTGTCTGGTCCAAGATGTAGGCGAGCGGGAGTTGAGCCTGACACATCTGCCTGGAAGATACGCCATTCATCGTTTTGCCTGAGGTTGGACAGGACTTTGTTGACACATTTGGACGCGAGTCCCACGCTGCCGTTGAAAGAGATGAGGTACCTTCTGCTTGGAGTCGGACCAGCAGACTTGATAGTGTATGATGATGCGTCCAAGCCCAGCTCCCCCAAGAAGGGAGAGAGTGAAGCACGCACAGCATCGATCCCAACCATCTTCGTAGCCATGGCGACGACGACTGAGGGGTCCTCAGGAGGAGGAGGAGGAGCAGGAGGAGGAGCAGGAGAGGCCCAGCCACGCGCGAGGGGACGGACGGTCATCAATAGCAGGGGACGAGAAGAGACCGGTCCAGGAGATGAGGGGACCCCGCTGCCCCTCGAGGGGGCGTATCCCGACGCACGCAGATCAGCAGGGCGAGGACCTCGAGGAGGGGGGAGGCGAGGAGGGGCCAGAGGAGGGCCCCGGGGCCGGAGGAGGGGCCGCAGGAAACGGGAGGGGAGGCTACGGTTCAGGCGCGCTGGAAGCGGATGCAGAGCGACGTCAGCAGCCAACTAGATGTGAGTGCGCCTCTCTCTGCGGAACTGTATGGCGGATTCCGGAAACCCTCCTCGACCCTGGATCCTCGAACCTCCCTCCTCGATCCTTGATCTTCCTCGATCCTCACTCCTCTTCCTCCTCGATCCTGGATCCTCCTCGATCCAAACAACTCACGTCTTTTAGGGGGCTGCGTGCTACTTCCGCCGGTGGAGGCGCCCGCGCTGTACCTCCGCCGCTCTCCGCCGAGAGAGAGAGAGAGAAAGAAAGACCTCCTCAGGCCGCCTCGAGAGCGAGGCCCTATCTGGGGCGCCCGTGTGGATATGCAAGCGGAGGGGTGGAGGGGCTGGAGGGAGGGGGGGGGGGAGCAACCTGGCCTGACTCGGGGGCGACGATGAGGGCGAATAGCCCAAGAGAGATCAATACATGTATCCAGGCGCGGCGATGGTCTATACCTTCGGCGAGACTCCAAGGCGAATACGTGTATTGCTCCCACCTGCCCATTCGCCCGCATCGCCGCCTCCGACTGACACCCGTCGAACTGATATTTTGAACCCTCGGCCCCAGAGGTTCTTGGCCCCTTGCCCGGGGGCAACTTTCTTCTTCGCCACAAGTCCATGTTTGAGGGCCGCGGAGTTTGAGAATGGCTGGAGGGGGGGGAGACACCTGGCCTGACATCCGTCGATCTGATGTTTTCAGTCCTCGGCCCCAGGTCCCGGCCCCACCCCTCGGGGCAGGTAATTTTTGTTCCGCCGTAGAGCCATGTTTTTTTAGGGCCCCGAGAGGCTCAAGGACGGCCCCCGAGGACATAGGTTCGTTCCTAGGACAAAACTGCTCAGAATGAAAAAATAGCGTGCGTGAGTGTGAGTGTGAGTGTGAGTGTGAGTGTGAGTGCGAGTGCGAGTGTGTGTGTGTGTGTGTTTGTGTGTTTGTGTGTTTGTGTGTTTGTGTTTGTGTGTGTGCGTAAATGTGTGTGTGTGTGCGTACGTGTACGTGTGTGTGTGTGTGTTTGTGTGTGAGCGGCGGTTGTCTCACTGGGTGGCCAACTCGCCGCGCCCGGTTGTCCTTACAGCGGCACGGTCTTACGACCCGGTTCGTCTTTGTCTTGCAGTCTCTGGAGTTGACAACCTCTTTAGTTGTGTACAAGTTGCACGTTGCACGTCTTTCGGATACTCTCGCATTGCAGTTTCGGTTCTTGCGCTATTCGGCATGGCTGATGTCACAGACTACGTGCGCTGCGGTTGACGCTGTCACTCGGCGGACCCCACCCATCCTGCTTGGCGTCGCCTGTCCGTGGTTTTCCACCCTACCCATCGGCTTCGTTCGCTAGGTTGGCCACACTACCAATCTGCTGTACAGCTCTATTTCTTGCGCTTCACTGCCTAACACCGTTCTTGTGATTCAGTGGCCGCAATTCACCGCTGGCCCCCGCGCTTCAGTTGACGCTGAGTTGTGTTATCTCTTCGTTTTCTGGCCGCTGCAAGTCTCGCTTGGACTTGCAACTCCTCGTTGAAACCCACTACTTGCATGCTGCGGTGTTGCTGCTTGTACGCCGCGCTATCGCCAACGTTCGGTCGTAATTCGCACTTCCATGTGTTGTTCGCGCTTAGGACCCTCTGCGCCGCTGGCTTAAAGTGCGCGTGTGTCTGTGCGGATCTTAGCTGCCCCGAGACGCAGCATGACATACACAGCATGTTGACACGGAGCTCGTCACGTAGACTGAAAACGTAGATCTGGCACGACACGCGTGCCAAAACGTGGACCCACATGTGCCGAGCCAACAAGCAGCGTGTTAACACAGACGGTTTGAACACGGCACGCGTCCCGTATCGACACGGGCATATCAGGGCAGCTAAGGTGCAGATCATCGTGGACCCGCTGAGCTGGGCACTCCCCTTCTTTTCTCCCCCGGCCTCTGTGCTGCGCCTCTCTTCTTTCCCATTCCTCTTTCTTCGACTGGTTCCTCCCCCTCTTCGTGCCTTGCCTTGCCCTTGTGGTGTGTTCCGTTCTTCGCCTCGGTTCCCCCTACTCCTTCGGTCGGCCCGTGCCCCTCGCGCCTGTCCATCTGTCTCCCTCGGCTGTCCCTGTCGCTCATCGCTCCTCGTTTCTTCCTCTCTTTGCTTGTCCGCCTATTGCCCTTGTCTTGTTTCGTCCTAATTATGGATGGCCTTGACCTTCGGCCCATCGTGCGTGTACCTTGTCTTGCTTGCCGCCGCGTGCGCGGCCGCGGACTAGTGAACACCATGTACTTGCTCCTGGCCGCCAAGACCCAAAAGTGTGCGCGTGTATGTATGTACGTGTATATGTATGCGTAGATGTCTAACCTCCGAGGATCCAGTTTCTGAGCTAGGTTTATTCCGCAGGGAAGTTCCCAGAGCCTTCGGCGCAACATTCGCGGGGCCCTCGCGGGGGAGGGCTTCTGTAGCCTTCGGCTCGCTCCGCCGCCTTCAAATGCCCTCGTGGGGCCCACCTGGGGTCGAGAGCTCTACGGGCAACGCTTCAAACAACTACTTAAGATAGAGCCTGGGCCTCTCAAGGTACACGGAGCTTCCAGAAGGTCC